ATTAAATTTAAACACTATAAATAAGATACTAAACCTATTAAAGTTGAATAAAAGGAGCAATAAGGCAATTTGCGTTTTACACAGAGAGTTCTGCTTTGGATATGAGAACGCCATCAGAATCAGCATACAACCATTCCCCATCACGAATCAGGGTTCCTGCAACGAAAACCGGGACATGTTTCTCCCCCACACCTTTCTTATTGGATTTGATGGGATTAGATCCCAGTGCCCTAACACCAATATCACAAGCATTAATCTCATCTACATCTCTAATACAGCCATTGACTAAAATACCAGCCCACCCCATAGCCTGCGCTGACTGTCCCAAATTCCCTCCAAGTAAAGCACATCTGTTGCTCCCTCCACCATCTATAACCAAAACTCTCCCTTCACCTCTGGTTTCCAGGAGTTGCCTCACTAACACGTTGTCCTCAAACACCTTAACAGTCATTATAGGACCTGAGAATGCTCGACGCTGACCATATATCTTGAAGATCGGTTCTAAAACACGGAGCTCACCATTCGCCAAAAGTGAAGCATTTGAATCACATGCTTCAGCAGTTGCAAAGGCAGCCATATCTCTGACTTCCTGCTCCTGCATGTGTGTGTACATGTTATTGTTAAATGGTATGAAATAAATCGGCAATTTATGTAAAAATTAGTGTTTATATGGCAGACATATAAACAAATTAGGTAGAAAATATTTAAAATTATATTATTTTAATACTATATCATTAGAAAAAACAATCTCATTCTAACTAAAATGTTTTTTTAACAAGAATTTATTGAAATGAAGCCTAATTTTATCCACATCAATCATCAGGTAAATAAACATTTTTTTTCCATTTTTATATTTATATAGTAGTATTTATCAATTGAAATTTTAAAAAATTAAAAAGAAATAAAAACCCAAAATTATGTCATTTCATTAAACTACTAAAAAGAAAAAAAATTAAAACTCTCTCTTTTTTACATTTATTTTAATGAAAATATATTAAAATGACATTTTATGATTCCTCTTACATACATGAGTCTTAAACAATATCATATTATTCATTTTCACTTTCTAATATGAGTAACTAAGATTTACAATGATTTTTTTAGACACAAAGACAATTAACTCTTAAAAAATAAAAAGTCGATAACTCTATGTCATTCACGGTGGAGGCAGGGAAAAACCACAAAAGAGAAAAAAATAAAAGCCTTTAATTACCTTAACATTGGTTTTATGATTGGTATATGCATGGTTAAAAGAAACAAAATTTAGGTTCTGTTTGACTTGCAAAAACTGATTTATAAATTACTTTCTATACTTTCTAATGTCTGATAATCAATTAAAAATAGATCTAAAAGAAAATAATTTCAATACATGAAAAATGCTCCTTGCACCTTCTGAAAAACAACTTCCAAATAATTTTTCTAGAAGTTGTTTTTCTTCCAACAAAAACATGCAGACTTTTGCTCTGGTTGGGAACTCGATCTTCAGTAAAAACAAGGATTGCTCAGACATACAAACAGAGCCTCCTTTAGATTCTATTGGCGACAACTCTCAGACCACTCCCTTCCCATTTCTACTTCTTCGGCTATATCACAATGCTGAACCAACAATTGGCACTCTAGCTCAAAATTCATAAGGTGTTTCCTCAATAAAACTTTGTTCTTTTTCCTTCTTGATTTGTGTTGATTTTGTCAAGATTATGCGTTGAATTGTTCAATTGGGTGACCAAACAGAGGGTTCTGTTATCTGGGTTTGGTCAATTTGTGATGTATGAGATAATATCTTAGACAACAAACCTCGATTTGAATACGGGTCCTATTCTCACAGTGAGATCAAGACCAATTCCTTATTATTTTTCTATTTTTTATCAAACACATGGTTTGGAAAGGTGAGTATGGCAAGTAATTAATAGTGTGATGCTCAAAAACTGACATGCCCATTTAACGTTTGATAAAATGCCTCAATAAGCTCTGTGCACTTATTTTGATGTCATAATCTATTCGGTATCATAACATGCTGTGATTTCTTAATTTTTGCTTACATGTCAATACCTTTTTGGATCATTAATTGTATGAAAGTGATATAGTTATATGTTTTATTTAAGTGGTTTTCTATGAACTAACCTTATACTCTGAGAATTATTTGTTGAGTTTCATCTTAAATGATGATTCCTGTAGCAACTGGCTCTTAACTGATTTTTTATTATGGGGTCGTTGCCCATGTGAAACAGAAAGATTTTCGGTTGTTAGAAATTATCCTTTGTCCTTGTTAGGAAACTAAATATATGATGTGTATTTGTTTTAGTCTTTACATTGAACAAAAGAAATACTTCATGTGAAATGTTTAGACTGGTGTTTGTCAAGATGCATCAATTATTCCAGTGAGAGCTTTTTGAGTTAACTTGATTGGATGATGAATATTGTTGTATCATCACTTGGATCTCGTTGAGGAGTGAGGAGGGAGTAATAACCTAGTAATTAACTATGTTGAAGTTTATATAGCATGAATTTCTTATTTTATTAGCATTATTTCCTCCTTTCCTCTGGCCGAGCTATAAAGATATTGTTTGATATATTAGTGGGGCTAATTCATGCTCTACCATTCAGCTTGAGTTTGTAACATTCGGTACGATAGAAGTTTTTGCTATGGCCAAAAAATTCTTTGATTTTTATTTTTGTTATTATTATTTTTTTGGTATCAGAAAACTGTTTTTCAGTACGGACTGTAAAAAAATTTACAGTCTGCACTTCTAAAACGGCGCCGTTCCT